TATATATATATGCTCTTTTGTGTATTATAATAATATTATAGTAGTATTATAGTAACATTATCTATCGTTGACTGCGATCCATGTGAGATAGTTAATCATTTCTCCATTGAAGAGTGATCACATGCCAGAATTAAAGTGAATAGTAAAATTGATAGAATGCATGTCAAAGGAGCAAAGAAAATGTATAATGTATTCAGGGTGTCCGATAATTGTTCTGATATGTAGAGTTCGTGGACATGTAGAGCGGACTAAACTGAGACGGAAAGTCCTTTATCATTTTGCAATTTTCGCAATAGTTAACAAGATATTAATTGTTAAAAATTATCGAAAATTGGTCTTTAATAATTTTTTACTCAAATACTCAACTTTATAGAAACACTGCAAAAGACAAAAATTGTTTATTTTTTAAAAAAATTTTGAAAAAATTCTAAAAAAATTTTGAAAAAATTCTAAAAAAATTCTTAGAGCTCTATATATATAGAATTTATTTTAAAAATTATTTTTAGAATTTTTTCAAAATTTTTTAGTACTGTATTTTCTCATTGATAAAATTGAGAAAATGCAGTACTAAAAAGTTGATAAAAAATTCTGAAAAAATTCATAGAGTTCTATAAGAAGAAAATGAACAATTTTCATCTCTTGCAGCTTTTCTGTACAATTGATAGTATTTGAGTAAAAAACTATTAAAGACCAATTTTCGATCAATTAATATCTTGTTATCTATTGCGGAAATTGCACAACGGTAAACTTTCCGTTTCAGTTCAGTTACAATTATCGGACACTCTGCATATCCGAAAAGATAGTAAATGTCAGATTATTAATAGTAAGAAGAATTAAACGACAAGTTAGAAATTAAAATATCACACAAAACTAATATTTATAGCATTTTACTGTTGCATGAAAGATCAAGAAAGATTAAACTGCGATTCAGAAATTAAAATAATATAAGAGTAAAATGCATACAGTTAATTAAAGATTTAAATTGAAAGTTTTAGAACTGACAGAGTAAATGTGTCAAACATCGCCAAAAATTAAAATTTTTACATATAACTTAATTGGCTTGGAATTACTCTCCAATGGAGGAATAATTAACTATCTCACATAAACTACGATTGATAACACAGTGTAATGTAAAACAGAAAGATTACATTTTTTTTATTAGCTTTAGCTGATAATAGCTTAAAATTGGCCAATATAATTTTTCTTTTTAATGTGATTTTAAATTATTATTAAACTTTATTATATAAAAAATATACACACTATTTACAACCCCGATTCCAATTAGTTTATTTTCTTCATTTTTTAAA